CCCACAATAAGTTGAACGATTATACAGATTAGGAAAATCTACAGATATAAATCAACAACACTTCTAAACACAGTAAAATAAAAATGCATTTAGCATTTATTAAATTATATTCCACTGCGTGTCCTAATTCCCCACCCATAAAACCCTATAACCATCGCTTCGTAGGAGAACATGCAGGGAGCAGGGATTAATGAGTGGGCCTACATAAGCTACGGTTGCCCAAATGCCTAACAGGGAGGGTCGTGGGCGTTGGTGGCACATATGGGTGCGGGCTCAGGCACCAGCCAATCACGGCCTTTATGGCCATTTGTCCTGAAAAGGAACAGCTGAGAGGACTCAAACTCCCCACATTATATGGAGTTTAAAGTTTAGCTTGTCTGCTAACCGGTGACACAACCTCATGGAAGATCCATTTAACGATTTTGTTTGGCACCTGCCGTATATAGGTGGCTTTAGTTCTAATGCTACGTCAGTAGGTGTATAGCCGGCAGCCCAGGCGGTCATAATACTTCTTTAAGCCGTCTCGCGATCGCGCGGATAATGTCATCGTTGCTGCTGAGGATGATACGACGACGAGGCCGATGTTTCATTGCCGCTTTTATCTCCCTGAACATGAACTCCAGTTAGAGTTCGGAAACTCGGAGGAAGAAGGACATGATTCCGGCAATCGAACAACCAACTCTGGAATGTGAACATTCGCTCCGGTCCGGTATCACACAATTCTTGCGTTTTGATTTCTGTTGGGGTACCTGTAGTAGATTTTTACCAGTAATATTTATAACATCAACCACTATGTGGTCGTCTACGTAGAGTTCGACGATGACAGCGTCAATTGTGACGACTAAAGCTGTTGTTGACAGTGATGACAACTGTTCTTGCATTGTCGCTGCTGCTGTTGATGATGATTATGAGATGGAGGATGATGCTGGAGACAAGGGCGTGACGATGGTTACGCGGCTGTTGCCTATATTACTGATGACAAACAAGATACTAATAAATCTTCCAACGGCAACGCTTTTTGCTATAACTAAAAATACCGCGAGGCTGGTGATGTTTATACGAAGGCCAGCGCAAATATCGTTTATCTCCCTGTCCGACAAGTGGGCTTGCGTAATTTAAAATGACGTGACACTTCTATCTACTGCAGCCCTGGGAGGGGGGAGGGCAGTGGTATTGAAACTTGACACGAATCTACCTACAACCTCCCCCGCCTCAGTCCATCACCCCTTTTTCCGGCGATGGTGACAATTGGTGAAGTTCATTCAATGGACTTCGACTGTCGCGTCTGCAGTTTTATGGTGAAAATAAAAACTTAATCGTTTTCACACGTCCACTTGTAGCGCCCGCAGTTTCGCATGGCATCTAGACCATCGCGCTTTCGGTTTCCTAATCAGTTAGCTTCTAACGAACTCTGCGTGAGCTTCTCCTTGCCTCCCGCCAGTTCATGCGCAAACTACCACTGAACTGCACCGGTCCTCACGGGAACCAAGGACTGAATTATTATTCCGAGTATCTCGCTAGTGTATTTCGTCCTACTTATACGGCCCAGAATATAATCTCCTCACCTGCCCGTCTGTATGACATCTTAAGTAGTCAGTAACTCAGCTTCCGAAGGCATGACACGCACACACACACACACACGCCGCGTATCTCTTCCCTGCGATCCGTCCCTTTTTGTCTTCTACTTTTAGTGTTGTCTTCCTTTCAGGCTGCCGAGCTGTCTGCAGCACGCCTTCAACTGTCTCCTCCGGCTGGTTCGGACATTTCCAGCCCTCAAGGAGTTCTATCGCAATGTGGGCATTCTGGAGGTTGTGATTCAACACCTAGAGAAGTGTATCAACACGGTTTTTAAGCCATGTAAGTCAGCTAGGCCGTTTGTTTTGTCACCTCCTTGTCTTTTCCTTCCCCCTCCCCCTTTCAGCGTTCACGCTACGACCGGTCGTCTCCGCTACCCTTTATCCCCAACCACTATAGATTTAATCTTATTCAGGCTTCGCGCTTCTTGCCCCCTGGTGCGCAGGGCGGCTACTGAACTAGAGTGTAATTCGCTGCCTATTCACGTGAAAAAAAACGAGTCTAGGAGGCCGGTTAAGAATGGGGAGGTTGGAAGTTTGGAAGGAGAATTTTGTTCGGCAGACTTTTAGGAAGGGCAGAAACCATTATGCTTGTTACTGGATTGCAGATCGGATAGCCACGACTCAATCATGAATGGCAGGGTGCTCACCGATCTGGTCACGGAACATGCTCGTCCCGTTTTACCTTAGAGCTTAATCTAAAGCTTTCGCAGGCAGTCGCATAGCGACTTGTCGTATATGATGAAGTAGAACCCACAAACACGAGGGAGACCGGAATGGCCATTTCTCGGTTTTAGCCGTCACCAGCCAGGTTTATCCTCTCCAAGGGTGGCAACCCCATAGATTAAAACCCAGGACCTTTGGTCATTGAGTGCAACACTTTACCATTGCACCACAGACGCCTTGTCTTTGTCCGTTCACTCCATGAATCAATCAACCTATGGCTCATACAATTGTCCCCCCTGCGAGGATTCTGACCTCGTCAAACCGGACAGTGTGGCCGGTTCCTGTCGAGCGTTCCGCGCCTGACAGTCAATCTCCTCCTCTTTCACTACTACTACTAATACTACTACTACTACTACTACTACTACTACTACTACT